CGAGGCTCCGGCGGTTTATAAACGGGGTGCCGACTTTCGGCGCCGACACGTGGAGTTTGAGGTGGGGGACTTCGTTTGGGCGGTTTTGACCAAGGACCGTCTTTCGGCTCACGAGTATAACAAATTATCGGCTCGAAAAATTGGTCCGATAGAAATTGTGGAGAAAATTAATTCAAATGCTTACCGTCTTCGTCTTCCGTTCCATGTTCGAACTTCCGACGTGTTCAACGTCAAACATTTGGTGCCATATTTGGGCGAGAACGCGGACGGAGATGAGCTTATTTCGGATTCGAGGGCGAATCCTTCCCAACCGGGGGAGGATGATGGAGACGAGCTTGCTTTGGCGTTTATGGAAAAATACGAGCGTCGTAGACGTCGTGCATGAGTTGCATGCTTATGTGACTCTTCATACTATTATGTTATCTTAAAGTTAGTATGGAAATTTGTAGTAGTCAAAGTAACAAAATCAAAGAGGCATTCAACATTAGCTAAAAACTAGAAACATTATTAGGGGGCATTCAAAAGGTCACAAGAACTCTTATAAATTATGTAATCATATGATGAAGAAGTTGGTGAATGATGGAATATAATTACATTATTATCGAGTATTCTATACTCTTGTGTCTTTCGTACGCTTTCGACTGCATCAGTATTTAACCGTCGGATAGGGATAGATCTAAGGGCTCATATGTAAACCCTAAGTGACAGATGGAACAAGTGAAAAGACAAGTGCGTCGTACTGGATACGCATTACACCATAAATTGCTTTAGGTAACAAAGTCATTGTGATATTTTTAAATTTTTTGATTTATGTAGCATGTTATTGTAATACTTTTTGCTTTATAAAATTTTGAGACATTTTAGTAACATTTTAGTAACACTTCATTAATATGTAATATTTTTATGTAGCATTTTTAAATAAGTAGCACTATTTGTGTAACACTTTTTGTAGTTACTATTCCGTAACACAATCTAGCATCACTTTATTCGCACTTTAGTAATATGTAATATTTTTTATGTAGCATTTTTAAATAAGTAACAGTTTATGTGTAATACACTAATACTTTTTGTAGTTACTATTATGTAAACACAATTTAGCATCATTTCATTGATACAAAATATAGCATCATTTCATTAAGAAATATTTTTTGATGTTTTTTTTCATGCAACACTTTTAGAGATTATATATAATTTGTAACTCATCAACTATAACATTTTAGCTAGTATATTTGTTAATTTACACCAAAAAGAATAAGTATAAGAAAAATAAAATATTTCTGCAAGTGGATTAATTAGGCTTTGAAGTTGGATAATAAATAAAATTATAGTAAGGATGCCACATTGCATTGTTCAATCACAATATTAGAACAACAAATAAAGTGTTGGTATTTAAAATAAATATCTTAGGATTTGTGAGGTAATTAATATAAATGGATGAAATGGGATTGAAATTTTCAACAGGATGATAGGTAATGGAAACTGTATAGTGAGAGGAATGATTTTGAATGTAAAACACTTTTATTTCTTTTTGGTTTGTTACACACAAACTTGTCCACTAATGCCCTATTTATAGAACTAATATGTCGGTGGAGTCTAAGATATTTTTACCTAATTGTCTAGATTCCTCCACCGACTTAAGCTAGATATTTTACATAATTATCTTAGATTTTTTAGACTATCATCATTACTAGATTAGTGCATAATGTTCTAGATTTTTTTTGCTTTTGAGCATCAATTTTTAACACTCCCCCTTGATGCTCATTTGGATAATATAGAGCTTTTCCCGTAGTCTTTCGAATCTTGGTCTCGGCAGCGCTTTCGTAAAAATATCCGCTAGTTGATCTTCAGTGGCGACATACACTACAAAAAAAGTGACTTTATGTAACTTCAATAAAGTATTATCTAATCTTAAAAATGTGTTATTATAGATCATAAGTAACATTTTCACGGGTGCTATTGATGCCTTTGATACCTATTGTTTTATCTAACACTTTTTATTATTAAGCAACACTTATTATAAATGTTACATTAAATAATCTACTGTAGCACTAACTAGTATCATTTTCTGGATGTTACATATAACCTTTAAGTAACATATTTTATGCAATATGTATCAATTTCTTGTAACACTTTTTTATATATAGTAGCATTCAATAAATCAATTATATCACTTTAATCAATCAAATGTAGCTTTTCATATTGTAACACCACTTAGTATCAATTTACATATGCTACATATAACTCTCATGTAACATTATACCAACAATATGTATCAATTTCTCGTAGCAGTTTTCGGATTATGGTAACATTTTTATCATTAAACCATATCACTTTAATGATCAGAGGTAACTATTTTTCAAATGATTATATAGCACATTTAATCATATATATATATATATATATATTATATTTCATGATGATTATTTTTCATTTGCTTTCGAGTATGACAATTTTAAATAAAGTAAATAAAATAACAAAGCAAAATATCATTGTACATTAAGAAAAGTAAAACAAATAAATATTATAAATAAAGTTGAAATAGTTCCAATATCAATGTAAAACAATAAAAGATGGAAAAGTATAATGAAACAAAGGGCGAACAATAAAAAACAAACACCTACTACTAAAGATACTACTAAAGAGAATATTGCGTTCGCATTGGTCATTTTCTCTCTTATATATGTCACTTCTCGACAAGGCCACCATGGCCATCATCATCACCATCGCCATTTGCTTCACTTACTCCATCTTCATTTCCATCGTCCTAAAACATGGTTAATCAAACCATCATAAGCAACCTAGATTACATATTTAATCAAATAACCATAACCGACATAGAATACCTACAACAATACTCATCAATATAAAACATTATTTAACGACAAAAAACAGAAAAAAAAGTAACGCATTCCAGTAACATCACTTTAACATAAATTCATATAAATCATGGGCAAAAACCAATTCCATATAAATTCACATAAATTCATACAATTCCATTAATGCATTCTAATAACAGCACTTCCACTTCCAGGAAAAACACACACGAAGAATAACAACTTCATATCATAAATAACAATAAATCATGGGGAAAAACATCTTAACAACACTTTCACATTTAGGTCTAAATAACAAATTATAAAGAACCTTGATTACAAGACACAGTTTATGTCAAAATCATAACAAAAGATATGTGAAAGCAGTGGTAATATAGACTCCAGCAAAGGAAAAAATACAACAAAAGAAGAAGAAAGAGTTGATTTTTATAGGAAAAGAAAAAATTAAACCTAATATAATAATAAGTAACATGCATAGGTTCTTTGCATTACTAGTAAAAATTCTAGCCCACATTACAAATACCTGAGGAAGTTCAACGTTGTTGATATCTCCGGACGATTGCTCCCTGAGACGTTTTGCTAATTCTTGAATGCTCAATGTATTCTCAAATGACGAGGTGATAGGATTAAGCACTTCAACTGGTAGATGTTCAAAAACTTTTAAAACTCCCGCTAATGTTTCTTTCACAATCTCATCTTTAAATGGCTTCAAATATTCTTCAGGAATCAGAACATCAGACTTGGAAAGCTTCTTTACTCTCTTGCTACACCTACCGAGAAGTCCATTATTTATAGAGTCAGGAAGTTCCTGCATGTAGATAGAATGAAACATGAATGAATCAAATAATCCTAACAAACTATATTTTTAGTAATGACAAGTGAATATAATACAACTTACATCATTTATTTCAGGCGTTTTGTACTTTCTACCAGATGTTCTTTTGCGTGTCTCCCTGTACATCAATTCTGGAGAAGGTTGCTTCCCATCAACTTGTTTCTGTAACCATACAAAAAAAAAGAACGATAAAAAATAATAAAAAACACACAGAAGAATTTTCATCTACAGCACATATCTAAAATCGACACTCACCATGCAAGTGTGTGTAGTTTTATGAATATATCTTACTTTTTCGTCACTAATTCATCTTATTTTACGTCATTTATACTATCAAATACAAAATGAATCTCATAAGAAGTTCGGTAAACAAATTAACATAAATGGTATATATTACTTACCAACTCATGACGCTTTCTTGCAAATGCAACGGGACCCATTGTGTGTCTGTTTTTTTGACTTTGGCTGGCTGCCTTTTTCTTTTCAGAGATCATCTATTTATACAATTAACTTTAACATATAATTTCACTGAAATCAAGCAATGCATTTCACTACTAATCTAATAGAAAGTTCAACTGAATATTTATACAAAAGTATAAACACAAACAGAGACAAACACCATGCGACATAAGAACACAAGTATTCTTAATGAGAATAAGTATACAACTAACGAATGCAAAAGTTTCAACCTCCTGTTTATACAAATAGGTAAAGATCCAGAAAACAAATAATACATCTAGAAGCAATCATAGTCATATTTGAATCCTACTGATCCTTCTGACTTCAACATATGATATCAACTTGTCATTGGGACACAGTGGCACTAGCACCATACACAATATATATGTAAAATTGCAATTATATGCAACTCAACCCAATGCACATGGTATGCTACATTGTACTTGTTTCACAAAAAATAAAAAAATAATAAAATAAAATAAAAAAAGATCAAGCATATCAAAACTGAACACAACATATACATTCCCAGTGCAGCACGAAACATTCACCCGGAAACACATTAGAACATCCGAAGGTTCACATAGGCATATGAACAGGTACTTTTATACACATACACTCATATATGGTTTGTTGTACTGGATAGGTTTAAACTCTCAATTTTTAGGCTTTTAAATCTTAACTAGAATTCAACCGTCAAATTAATTAAATAAAAAATCAACAAATTTGATCATGGATAATTCGACAGCAGTTAGGAACAAACTCCTAACCAGCTATAGGTGGACTGAATAAATCAAGTGTCCTTTTTTCAGCCTTTTTCTTATCAAACCATGAAGATTGTTGAACAAAAAATGAGAGATCACAAATTTTACCTGAACCTCCTCTAGATCCCAATATTTTAGCAAATCCTTCATATGAGAATCAGGAATCGATTTGTTTTCACCATTTATATCTTTGGAGCTAGAATTGTAGTAATATTTCTTTTTAACTCTTGATTTATGAGTACGCCATAAAGCTCCAATGGATTGCAACACATACGTCTTACCTTCCTCTGCTATGATGAACTTTTTCTACAGTGTTAATAAGAAATTATTAGCATAAAATAAATAACAACGAAGAGGTCACAAACGAATTGAATTAAAGTAGTGATAAATGTTAACTAAATCAGATAATGTGGTGAAGATACTTATTGTGTATAAATCTTTAATGAACTAAATACCTTGACATATTCCCAAATCTTGTCTTTATCGTGAACATGAGTCCAATTAATTTCATTCAACGGAGCAAGATTCGAATTACGAGCTAACGTTCCCAAGAAACGGCTAAACTTATCTAAAGTTGTCTTATCTGGTCCAATTGGTTGACACGATTCATTCAAAATGATAGGCAAACGATTTTCAATAGTGCGCTCGTGGATATCTTTGCACAAACTTGGTCCCCTTGTTCGTTTCTTCTCCACTGTACAATTTAACAACAATTAAAAAAAAAAATAATATACTACCTGTCCACTCGATATGTCCATCAGTTATACTGTCAAGTCTATCCCAAAAGAGTAAATTACAAAATCGAGAAACATATATTAAATGTAACATACAAGCAAAACACGCTTATCCTTAACCTTACCTGGTAGATTATGTCGTTCTTGGTCAGAAAATGGTTCGTTTTCAATCTCCACTGCGTCATCTTCGATTTCTTTTGGATTCATATCATCTTCTCCTTCAGCAACATATTCATGTAAGCTTTCATAAGCTTCATTTTCTTCAACTATACTTACTCCAGTACCACCTACATCATCAAACAAATGGCCTTGCTTTCTTGGAACACTATCAATGATTGTTTGCGGTTCTTTTTCAGCCGTCGAGTTTCTCCTCATCCTAGCATAAGCACCAATTGATCCAGGCGAGACCAATATTTTGCTTTGTGCAGTCTTCTTGGAGGAGTTGCTTATGACATCTTTGCCTTGCAGTTTACTGCGCATCACTGTAGCTGGTCTGGATAATCTTTCAGTCCATGTAACTTGTTTAGAATGCTCATTTTCACCAGCGGTGTCTCGTTGAACCATTTCTAATGAATCCATTTCTTTTTCGTTGTCATCTTTCCTCAGTTTTTCTTGCACTCCAGGAGTTTGACGGTGCATGTTCAGTAAACTCGCCATTGAGGATTGTGGTTTCTCTAACCCATTGTGAGAACTTCCTTTTACTGCCACCACCTGGAGCATATTGTCATTGTTTATGAATTAGTAAAAAATCAATTACTTTACTATAACATGGGTGTCAAAAAATAATAAAAACATATTTACAACTTGTCAATATTAATAAACTAGAAAAGAATTACTAAATTTACGACAATATGTGTCTAAATAATTATGAAACAAAAATATATAACCTTCTTTGAACGAGAGCTCAATCTTCTCCTATGTTGTGCACCATTCTCGTTACTCGACTTTCTTGGTTCGTGTTCCTCTTCATCAGGGATATATTCATCATCATTTGCTACATCATCCTTAGAAATAACTTTGCTTATCTCCCTCCGTTTCTGGTCCTTTCTTGAAACCTCATAAGCAAGAGTTTTTAACCCCAACTCTTCCATTCTTCTTTGATTTTCAGCCATTCGTTTCAACCTTTGCATCTCATAGTTTGACATCTTCAACTGTAATAAATTTTAAAAAGTGAGAAACTTAACTTTTAGTTGATTTAGGCATCTAAACATATGCATATTTATAACAAAAACACAAAAAACATACGAGGCGTGTTTATAAAAAGTGTAACTAACATAAATTATGCAATTTATCCTCCTAAAACTAAGTGGTTCTTATTAAAAATTCAGCAACATCCAACGTTCTTGCACCAGACACACATACACACATAAAAAGCAGAAAAAGAAAAATAAAATCTTTCTATATCAGCAAGCTAATTATGAAGGCTCTTCATTCACTTTGCTTCTTCCAAACACTTTCAGCTTTTACATTAATTTGCAAACACCATCAACTTTTGGGAATAATAACACTGTATTATCAATTATGATCATGCACAAAAGAAAATTACAAACCCAATTACCTAAAATCCTTTCTTGTCTAAAATTTTTGATGCAAATTAATAGAAAAAATAAGAAAAATGCCGACATTTCCTACTTATCTCTTTCTCTGGGATCATCTTTTCAACAAGAAAACATCATGAGAGCAGAAAGAAGAAAACAAATCTAAATTAAATTATATTCATAGAGCTAAGCAATAGTTCAGTAGAATTTGGGGTCATGTTTCAAAAATGCAATTTCGTAAATTTACAGAAAGCACAAATGAGTTGATAGAGATTGAGATTTGTACCTTGTTTTTGCTCATTCCAACTAGGGTTTGGTTAACTGAAATCGATTCCTTCTATATTTGTACCTTCGAAAAATAACTGCCACGACTTGAAAATATGGATGTATTGGGAGAGAATTTACCGCCATGAATTTTTTTTTCGATCGAGCGGCAAATGGAGCATCAATTTTGGGGGATTTCATGTAACTGAAGAAATAGGGGCCGTAATCTGTATGAGGGAGGGTGGGTAGTGGTGAGATTAGGGATATGAAAAGACTAATTAGTAATTAGTACAATTTCTTTTGAAAATGATATGTATATAATAAAAAACTAAAGGCAATGAATTAATTTGGGTGTTGAATTTAATTTCAATCTAAAATTAACTTGGATGATAAAAACACATAACAATCTTATTCTCACCATCCTATAATCCTCGTATGTATCTAAAGTAATTAGATATCATTTTCAAATTCTATGATTTTCAAGAGGCATTTGTCTAAAAATTCTATGCTATATTATTTTGCCTAATAATTAATTTACCAAAAGTAGCCATAATTGGTGGTTTATTTTTATAAAATATAATTATTATAAATACATAAAATTATATCTTTTTTTTATATTTATGTTTAAATTACTATGTACACACAACGATATATATACTCCCAATTAGGGTTCTAAACGAATCGAATCGAAGATAATACTCAAATATTCAATTCGAATTCATGAAAATAATTTTCAATTCGTATTCATATTTGGTCCATTATGAAATTTAAATATTTATTCCAATTGTGATTTGAGTAATGATCTGAGTAATACAATCTCGATTTGATTTCAAATTAATTTTCAAAAACTATATGTGAAATATAAATATATTAGATACAAATATATTAGGTATAGAAATATATTATGGCTCTTCTAGTTAACGTTTTAAAATGTGTATAGCGTACTGCGTCGCGTTTTGGTCTTTATACTATGTAGCGTAAATAGCGTTGCGTGTTGCGTAAGCTATTTGAGTATAACAATTTATTTTTACAAAAATATTATAAATATATTTGCATATAATAAAACTGGATGATTGATTCCAAAAATGATCATAATATTTGAATGAATTCAAAAATAACATCAAAGAATGATTTCTCACAAATGTTATAATGTAAATATCATAATATAAATATTTAAATAATAAAGCGAATATACCAAAAAAGTAAAAACAAACAACGAAAATATAATGAGGTAAGTCATACTTTAATTTAAGCATAGGCATTTTAATTATTATTATTTTAATTTAACTACAATATAATTCCAACCACTGTATATGGACTTTTTATTCTTTATTTAAATGTAAATATCGAACCTTAAAATGATATAAAAGAAATGGACCGATAAATATTGCACTATTCAACTTAAGACTTTCCATTTTCAAACTTTCAATTTAAAATGATTATAAAAAGTTTTGTTCTTAGTTGTCATTTGAAAATGTGATTCCAATCCCTAAAAATTACGAGTTTTGGAATATTTTATTGCTTAAATGTCGTTGTAGAAATATAGCACAATGTCGCGCACAATAACGTGAAATTACGCAAAATAGCGTAAAAAAACATGTCATTTCAACATTTCGCGAAAGTTTTTCGGGAAAAACACTAAATATATAAAGATACACGTTTTTTGAAAAAAAAGCTACATAACGAGCTATAGCGAGCTACATAGTTAGCTATTTAAAACAATGGTTGTCATTAAGGGATTAATTATGAAATACCCTCCCATAAAAAAATTAAAAATAGGCTAACTTGAAGTTTTGGATACCCACAAAGATAAATGTATATAACTTTAAAAGTATTATAATGTTTGTAATTTTTCTCTTATCTAATTCATCTATACTTGAAGAAAAAACCATGAAGATATAATAATTATAACTTTAACTCGAGGACTAATTCACAAGTTCAATAGTAATATATTTCATTTCTCTTTCTGTAAAACTAGCATCAGGAAATTTCAAGAATTCCACATAGTTCTCCACACTACACCCAGATAATGCAGCTTATGTGGAAAAAAAAGAAGGAAAAGAAATTTCATAGTCATGGATGACTTATACATTGTGCTTCTTCTTTATCTTGCTTTTGCCGTGATGCTTCCTTTTGGCCAATTTGATCTTCTTCAGCTCTTTCCCAATAGGCTTCAAAAATTTTGAGCTCTCATTGCCATCTAAGCAAACGAAACATGTTGAGACGTGATTGCTATCTAAGGTTGGCCTTGGCAGCGTATTAACCAGCACGCCTGGAATCGTCACATTCGGCACGTCCGCGCATGGCACCATCATATTTGGCAGCATGTAAGGAAATGCAATGACTTGGGCGAGCATCTACAGAAATAAAATCGTTATAAATAATAAAAAACGTTTCTTTTTTTTTTTTTAATCCAATTTTCCCTTTTTTTGTGTTTGATTTAGTAGCTAATTTTGACCCTAATGAAAAGGAAAATAGTCCTTGACCTGCTGTTGACATAGATATATGTGCTCGTTGCTGTTGTTCGTCATAGATGCGTCGTCGCCCTGAATTTTTTCACAGTACAGCATTAAGCTATAAGCTTGAAGGTAAGCATGAAAAAGTATTCCTAAGAATACAAACCTCAGATTGGGTGTTAACTTGGTCGGATTTGTCTGTCTTTGCTGGTACTTTAGCTCTTGCCTTCTCAAACAACCAAGAATAGAAAATTAAAGGGAGAATGAGAATAGAAAGAACACAAGCTAATGCATGTGAAGAAATACTTGGTGGCAGAAAACGTTAAAAGCAGTTCACAATTGTACGGGCTGAAGTTAAAATTGAGCAAAGCAGTTCACAATAATACTTAGTACATTTCGCGTTTGGCGGCCTCAAAGGTCACGAACAATAAGCCGCACGTCACTATCACCATGAAACCTATCATTAGCAAGAGCAGGACAAACGCAAGCCTGATGTTGCTCAAGAACCTGTTTTGAGGCATAACCAGAGCATATACCTGAAAGAAAAAAAATAAAAAAAATACCATTTATAAGAATAAAATGAAGAAAAATATTAGTATTACAACCTTTAGTCGAATATGAGATTAAAAACTTAAACTTTACCAATCTTAATCCTGCAATCTCGGCCGACGAACAACGAACGATATATCTTCTGCCTCGAATGCTCAACACAGAATCTCGTTGGCCAAAAAATCGGTGAGGAATTTCAATGGAAAACCTATGAAAATGGCTCCTTTTCCGCGCATACCAACAGTACTAAGGAATATATCAGCCCGAGACAAGGCCCACCCAGTCCCAGCCGATGAGTATCCGTTTGAACTAAGTGCTTCTTAAAACCAGCTCGAGCCAACTACATGTGATGGAGGAGACAGTGGCTTCTCTGTATAGTTTTCCCGTGTCTTGATTTGCGGGATGAACATACCAAGTGTTGATATTACGACGTGTAAGCTTAATATGATTCATATGACAAAAAGCTTTAATAAAAGGCCATACCAGTAAAATGAGAAAACAAACGGGCTGCAACACAATACATGACCTCCTCGATTTCATCTTAGCTTCGAATGGCAGAGAATAAACTACTGTCTATCTTTGAAGGATGCAACTGCTCACGATGGGACATAACAGTTATATACTTCTCAGATACTCATAGTTATTTACACACGTTCCTTTTGCAAGCCCTGTAAGGTTGTTGGCAAGTTAAAACAAACCAAGCACGGAACGTATATGACGTAAGTATGAATTAAAGAGTTTATGTATACAAGAATCAAGAACTTGAATGAGAGTAGCATGCACCTGATGAGGAATTCCTACTTCGGCAACTGCAAATGATGGCTTCCACTCATTAGTTCGCCCCATTTGAGATATATTAGCAGTAGCTGTAGTTGGGGTATCATTTCCAACTTGGCTGAGGGTAATCGAAATGTTAAGTTTTGCAACTGCTTCAATAACCTAAAAATAATAGAAGGTATAAACAATCAGGAAAAAAGTGTAGAGCTGCGTTTACTAACATAACAATATTAAGAATATATTGATGTGAAAGAGTACAAATAACCATATCGTTGAAACACACCAGACCAAGCTTTAAACATGTCTTTGCACTTAATAGACAAGAAAGCATAAATACTCAATTCACGAGCCTTTCATGAGCAATGCCCTGATAAATGCAATGGTTCCTAATCTACTTAAGAAAAATAAATAATGAAATAATTTCTTTAATAAAATCTAAAATTATATACAATAATACTCATAAATTTATTAGTTCCAAACCTGTATCATATGATTCTGAATTAGTCTCTTGGTTTTCAACTGGATAATCAAGAACAATGGGAGGTACACCTTCTCGGGTCCAACTATTTTCATCATCGTCGTTGGGAATAGACACCATCCTTTCCTCCACAGATTCAGTAAGCTCAGCAAAGTACGCGTCCTCTGTTTGGTCCATAATATTAATGAAGTCTTTTGATAATTTTTTCATTACATAATGGCGACCCTTTTCAGTAGCATCTTTCACATAAAAGACTTGATGAACTTGTGATGCCAAGACAAAAGGATCATCTTCATAGCACAGTTTGTTGAAATTGACACATGTCAGACCATATGAATCAGGGTCCTCTTGAAACCACTCACACCTGAATAGGACAACACTAAAAGAACCCCAATAGTCAATCTCAATGATATCATTTATCCTTCCATAATAAGTGACCCCATCAACACTAGGATTGAGATCCTTAGTACTTGAGAAACTTGAAGTCAAGGCGGTCAAAGTAACTCCACTGTTTTGGGTTGTCAATTTTGCATCACGTTCTTGAGTATAGAATCTATACCCATTAATGAAGTACCCTGTGTATCTCCTTGCAACGTGAGAAGGTCCCAAAGCTAACCATTTAATATGATCAGGAACTTGTTCTAACTCAACTTTTTCTTTAAACCAAACCATGAATTCTTGGCTATGTTGTTGGGCTTGCCTCCACCTTTTTCTACGCTTCTCTTGAGGCTTCATTTTCATCATATCTTCGTGTTCCCTGCATTTATAAAAAAATCATAATTGTTAAAATAAATGCCAAACAACAAACTCTTAACAATGGAAAACAACATACACAATACCTTAAAAGTAATGAACAATATAAATAAAATGAATGAGTGACAAACTTACTTGATGTATTTTTCAACAAGCTCATCCTGGCAATTGAATATAACATACCGATGTGCTAATCTTTGTGTGTTGGAGTCTAGGGAAAATGCTCCTTTCTTCCCTCCCTTTCTTCTCCCAAGAGGATGACCCACTTTAGGAAAAATTACCGATATATCATTACCTGTTGCTTCTACAGAGCTTCGACTAGAGTTTTTGGATTTCTTCTTTGAACCATCATGCAAATATCTTGAGCAAAATATTAAACCCTCTTCTACCAAATATCCTTCAGCTATAGAGGCTTCAGGACGACTCCGATTTCCAACATAACCTTTCAGTTCTCCAAGATACCTTTCTGGTCCAAACATCCACCAACCACTTACTGGTCCACTTAACCTAACATCATCAACTAAATGGATAGGTAAGTGCATCATGATATCAAAAAAAGATGGTGGAAAAATTTTCTCAAACATACAGAGAGTTTCAACTATTTCACGTTGCAAGTGATCCAATTCCAGTGGGTTGATAACTTTGCTACATATGCCTCGGAAAAAGGCACTCAATCTTATCAAAGCTAGAGCAACCTGCTTTGGTAAACATTTTCTGACAGCAACTTGAAGTAAATATTGCATCATAATGTGTGCATCGTGACTTTTGTATCCCGATATTTTCAATTCGCGCATTTGCACACAACGTGAAATATTCGAACCACACCCTTGTGGTAGCTGGGCATTTCTTATAACTTCACAAAACAAAGTTTTCTCTTGCTTTGTCATTGAAAATGACGCTCTAGGCAACAAGAGACGTTTTCCCGTGGATACGATAGGATGTAGAGAACTTCTTATTCCCATTTCTTTAAGATCTAACCGAGCATTGAGATGATCCTTTGTTTTCCCCGGTATGTCCAACAAAGTACCCAGAATGCTATCACAAATGTTCTTCTCGATGTGCATAGCATCAAGATGGTGGCGAGTTGCATTGTGCTCCCAATACGGCAAATTAAAAAAGCAAGATTTCTTTTTCCAGGGGCAATTTTCAACATTTTTTCTCGATTGTTTCTTACCAAACTTATTTTCAAAATTATTCAACAAATGTAGGATCTCCGTCCCAGTTAAAGGATCTGGTGCTTTCCTTATCTCATTCTCCCCATTGAAAGTTTTCTTATCACAACGCCAATGGTGATTTGCATCTAAAAATCTTCGATTGCCCATGTAGCACGACTTTTTACTATGCTTCAAATATAAATGATCTGTTTCATAATGACAACTAGGACATGCATATCGTCCTTTTGTACTCCAGCCAGACAACATTGCATAACCAGGGAAGTCGCTGATTGTTGCTTGTAATGCAACATGCATATCAAATGTCTGATTAGTTGAAGCATCATAAGTAGCCACCCCAAACTCCCATAAGTCTTTTAGCTCTTCAATCAAAGGTTGCAGATAAACATCAATGTCATTTCCAGGGGAAACAGGCCCAGGGATGAGTAAAGATAAAATAAGGTATTCTGGCTTCATAAACAACCATGGCGGCAGATTATAGTTAATTAAAACTACAGGCCATGTACTATGTGTTGTGTTCATGGTTCGAAACGGGTTAAATCCATCGCTAGAAAGGCCTAGCCGCACATTACGACAATCTGCAGCAAAACTTGGGTAAAAGGAGTCAAAATCATTCCAAGCTTTAGCGTCTGCTGGATGTCGTAATTTACCATCTTTAACCCTTTTCTCATCATGCCACCTCATATAATCAGTCGTTTCAGCACACATATACAACCTTTGTAGTCTAGGCTTTAGGGGGAAATGCCAAACAACTTTCGCTGGAATACGGCGAATATGCTGAGAATTAGTATCATTAGTGTCAGTTTGCTTGTCATCTTCTTTCCACCGAGGCTCATGACAAACATGGCAGGATGTAGCACTTTCATGGTCTTTCCAGAAAAGCATGCAATCATTCCTACATGCATCAATCTTCTGATAATCAAGGCCTAAATCCTTCACCATTTTCTTGGCTTCATAAAAAGATTTAGGCAATACGGCTTCTGGAATTAATTCTTGAATTATCTCAAGAAGATCAGAAAAAGCCTTATTACTAAGCCCGTGGACGCACTTAAAAAGGTAAAGGCGAATGATGAATGATAACTTAGAAAATGATTTACATCCTGGATATACCGCTTGTTTTCCATCTTCAACCAACTTAAAGAACTTTTTAGCCTCTGCGTTGGTACCTTTCTCCATTCCTGCTTCAAAGTTCGCAACGAGGTCCTTATGTGTATCATATATTAGACTTTCGATGTCATCATGCATAAATTCTCTGTTTTCATTTTGAGCTGAGTGTGAACCACTTTCACTAAAATACCATTCTTTGATGCCAGGATCAACGCCATTGCAAATAAGATGAGTATAAACTTCATCTCTACGGTGCCAAAAACGATTATAGAAAACAAAAAAAAAAAAAAAACTCCGATGTGACACAAGAATTGTGTAATTTAGCTAAATAATCAACAAATATATCAACCGTGAAATACAAGACATGAGATAAATAAGTTTTAAGCTCATAATGAGTATAGAAATTATGTGTAGCAACCAAACGAAATTGTTATTTAACAAAAAATAAAATAAAATAAAAAATCTTAATGCTATTTTTCTTATCCTTTCAAATTATTGTTATAACTTCAATTTGTAAAGTTCTTATTGTTATAACTTCAATTATTGTTTCACATGTACCCTAACCAGGCTTCTAATAAACCAACAAATAAGACCTAGTAATTATATATCTAATGAAATTCTTCAATCACTTTGTTCTTGACCATTTTCCGGCGGCATAAGAGTACCATCTTCATTGACCTTTGCCTTCCCTTTATCAAGGGTCGTAGACATTAGCGTGTTAGGATCTTCGGACTCGAATGCATCGCACAAACTTCGCTTCGTCGAAGTATCGCCAACCTTTTCTATTCCCTTCGCATTTTTTAGAGGTGTAGAAACTTCATCTTCCTCATCATTGTCATCCTATCAAAAATTATTAATTATTTAACATTAAAAATAAATAAGTGAATAAGTGATAATAAATTCGAATTAACATTTCGAAAATGAATGTATATTTAAAATGAGGTAAATTATTACCACATAATAGTTGCTATCATCTCCACCAAGCATGGTCAAAAAGTCTGATACCTATTATATTCAACACATAATGTTAGCAATATAGTTAATTATATAAAATAAAACATTGAGAATTTAATATACAACCTCCGGTGCAACTATGAGCTGGCTGTACTTCGAAACAATGTCTTTGTCGTTTATAACCCTGCAAACACTAAATGAAGATGTGCTCGAGTAGCGCTGCTGCTGAATACGAACTTTAAAGAGAACCGATTGTCCAGTCAAACTCTTGATTTCTTCAGGCAACTTAAAAGATTCAACATTCTATATGGAATAAATTATAAGAAACTTGTTATAGTTATAATAAATTAAATAATCTTAAACAAATAATAAGTGTAGAAAAAAAACCTTGCGCATGAATTCAGTTCTTAACAAATGACATGGTTTTCCAATGAGGATCTCAGACTCTTTGTCCCAACAAACAATAGGGGCATAAGCTGTTGCATCCGAAATACTCAAATTCATCTTGTATCTATGATGAAAAAAGTAGTTAGGGCCAAAATATTAAACCTTAATTATAAACTATATTCTGAAAAATATTTTAATACCTGAACTTCCCAGCTTCTTTTGAGCACTTGCTACACTTGAAACCACTGTCGGAATTAAGCATTTTGCTGCTGCAACTGCGGCATGCAAAGTACCACCAATCGTCCACAATAGAGTCAACCGAAGCACATATCCATATGCTTTTCTCCTTAAGAAAAATTCCAATAAAACAATTGTTTTAAATTATACATATACATTATTATTTTATATATTACGAATTACTATCAATAGTTATTAAAATTCGAAAAAAAAATATACCTCTTTAGTTTGAAACAAAGCATCTACAGAACAAACTGTAATATCCCCCGATTGCAACTCCTCCAACTCAGTCTTCACTACAGTTTTTGACTTTGAATTGTATTTTGTCTTATTCAAATTGCTTGTAGTGTACCTACACATATAAATTTGTTTTCTAACATATGTTACAAATAAAAACTGACATATATAAATAAATTGATGTGAAGGTAAAATTTAAGTTAACCTTCTCCAAAAGTCATGGATTTCCTCCACTGAGTTGTGTGCAATTAGCTTAGTCACGTTTAAGGAAGTAGTAACTTGAACTTTTTCTACAAAATCCCAAAAAATGTTAGATGTTGGCTCGTATGTCATTGGATTAATTATAAAAATTTCGAAACAAATAATTAATGGACTTACTAAGATATTCTTTCATTCGTGCTTGCTGCATTATGAGCACCCATGGCTCACCAGTATGTTCATAGTGGCTCTCGAAAGCCAATAATTTGTCAACATAGTCACCCCATACAGTGCAGTTTATAAAATTCTCACTGCATTTATATAATAAAATAAAATTATTAAAATGGATTTTATTAATATAATCGTAAATCAAAATTTTTCAATTAAATGGACGTACTTCAAGTCCATGAGAGTAAAGGCAACCATCTGTGTATCACCAGTTTTGACTTGCTTATCCTGGACACTTTGGATATCAACAACTAATCCAATGACGTCTACAAAGAAATAAAATTGCATCAACGATATTATTCATAATACTTGATTAATATATAAAAAAAAGCCCAAAAATATTCATTTCGAAAGTAATTAATCTTACCGAAAAGAATTGATTCATCAATTTGGTTGACATCTTGCAACTTTGAAAAATTTTTGAATTCGAAACGGAGCATGGGGAAATTATCTTTGGTTTTCGAAAATATTGTGCTACCGTGTAGTATTATCTTAAACTCGCTGTTTGTAGATCGGTACATTCCAATGTTTGAGTCAACTTGGTAGTTTCGTATAAGAATGACCATGCCTTCTTCAATTTCCTTCTCTCTGAAGCCTGGCAAGTACACTGCTCGCAGAATCGCTGTAATGCGTTTTCCCTTACAAAAAAATTGAAACAGCCAATTGAAAAGTAGTTAATATCAATATGATATGTAAATAACTAATATTCATATTTGCAATTTTTAGTACTGATAAATAATAAAGAAACAATATGCTTACAGTTTTATCATGCAAAATAAACTCCATGTGAGACTTGTATGTGCTGCCTTTATCATGAAAATACATCCTCACAATTCTAACTTTGAGCATGGGTCTCCTACTCCTACTAATCTCGTCGATTAAACCAAAAGATTGATCCATGGGAGAGAATGATTTTTTCTTGAAATATATGAATATGAATTGTTTGTACACGGTTAATGTATGCTGTTGGATATATATATATATCTAACAGAAATAAAATGTTTAAATTAATTAATTATTTTATATAGATTTATTTTTTTCGAATGCAGGAAATGTGGCCAAAAAAAGAGCAAATCAGATCTGTGGGACTCTTGAGATCCGATCTACACGTGAATGAATGTCACTGAATTTGTTAATTTGGTAACAAAATCGTTTAACAAATTAAAAGACAGATGCAAAATGGACTCTTTCTTAGTTTATCATAACAAATTAACAAATTCCATATTTTTTGCTGATACACGCCTCAATTATCTTAAAATCAGTACGCGTTTTCAAAATTCAAAAAATGGAAATATTTTTCTGGTTTATCGGACAGGAGATTTATAATGCCGTGACTTTAATGAGCAAAAAGCGGAAGATTGAAAACAGATTTCCGTCATTAATCAATGCGAGATGAAATTTGTCTGGACATCTATAAATAGTACTCAATAAATGTAAATGGCGGGAAAAGGTTGCCAAAAATATTAAATGGTAAACCTGTTTATATGTATGATTAGCTTATAATATATGTAAAAATATTAGTAATTAGACCGATAAAAATTAGCTTCTTAAAGTAGATAATGGATTTTCAGTAGTAATTATGAATTGGTTTCTATTTTATTTTATTTTTTCTTTTTAAAGATAATGAATTTCTAGTAGTAATTATGAATTAGTTTCTATTTTATTTTATTTTCTTAAATATGTATAGATAAGGGATGAAATTTTTTAAACACGGGAGACGTATGCAATGAGATTTTGTAACAAAAGAGATAAGCGTGTATATTTATACTAAAAATAGGAAAAAGAAAAACAAATATTTATTGTCAAACAACGATTTATCACGCGTGTAGATTTATACTAAAAATAGGAAAAAGAAAAACAAATATTTATTGTCAAACAACGATTTTGATAAACTAAAAAAAATGAGCCGATTTTTTTGCCTATTTAGATTTGTCCAACAATTACTATATTAGGATATATTTAATGATTTTGGCGGGAAAAAGTTTCTAAATTTATAAAAAGGTTATTCTTTTTATATAATGATAGATTATAGATTACTAATAATAACTTTACCTTAATTTTGCCCTAATTTTCATTCTCTCTATCTCAGAGGTTAGGTGTTAATATTCTAATGCAATAGTGATATTTGATTAGGTATTATGAATCACTAATAATTATAGATTAGTTATAATAATTTTGCCCTTATTTTTCACTCAATTTAAGTCTCAAGTGAGGTGCTAATAGCCTAATGCAATGATGTTATTTGATTAATTATTATATATTACAAATAATTTTGGCCCTACGTTTTTACATTTTTTGCTCATTTTGTTTTGTTTTGATTTGTGGTCCATTTGATGATGGTTTAGGTTGATTTTTCAAATGGATGCCCATATAAATAAGAAGAAAACTATGCTCTCATTTTTCAAGCCCAAATCGACTACAAAGGATTCTTCTCACTTTAGTGCGGAAACATCAACCCAAAATGAGTTTGAAAATCAACATACGACTAAGTATCAAAGGATGGATATTGATGTGAGCGACTATGTTTTACTTGATCTGGCTACGCGTACTCCAATATGGCAATGTCCGATAAATGAATGAGATGCAATTAGGCGGTCTTATATCTCGAGGGGACCGTATCAACCTATTATGGAGTTTCCGCAAAGGCAATTCGGAGATCAATACCGGCGGTTTCAAAAAAGTTGGTACGAGCAATTTCCATGGATAGAGTATTCTCCAAAGAAAGATGCGGCGTTTTGTTTTCCTTGTTTCATTTTTCAAGAAAAAGAGGCCCGTTATCATGCTTTTACAATTGGTGAATTTAAGAGTTGGAAAAGAGTTAATGATGGCAAAAGATGTGCATTTTTGGTTCATGCTGGAAGCCCTACTTCACCACATAATAATGCTGCACAATCCATGGGCCTTTTAATGAATGCAAGTGGTCACATCGATAAAGTGATGAATGCACATACATCAGAGGAAGTGAAAAATAATCGTTTGAGACTTACCGCTACAATTGAAAGCGT